ACAATGAAAATATTGGAGTACATTTATGCCCCTGACCATGTGCAGACCCTTTTTGTTTCTTTTTGTTTCTCCTTAGACCATATAGCAACCATTTACACTGGGCATTAGATTTATGCAGAGGATAATGTCCTCAGGCCTGCATCCAGTAGATGAAATGAATGCTCCATGCATTTTATATAAGTGTCTTGAGTATCTGCATATTTTGGTGTTTGTGGAGGTCCTGGAACATATTACTTCCAGAAAACACATGATGACTGTTTTACATAGCAGTGTTAAAACTAGGAATGTTTATTATGCTCACCCCATGCCCTGAACACTGCTGTGAAAGCTTCATGTGTGCTGGCTCTAAGACAAGCATGACAGTTAGAGCCATCATTTTCAGTAACAGATGAGGAAATCAGAGCATGTTCATACAGTTCTGGGGCCACAAATCTGATATGGCCCTAGAGCATGTCTGCCTAACTCCAAATTATATTCTTTCTTACACTGTTTGTTTTCCTTTGCCTGGTGGCTCTTTGGGATAGCATAATGATGCATCATTGGTACCCTGGGACCATTTTCTCAAGATCGCAAGTGGAGGTTGATACACGAGTTGACTAAGTAAACAATGAGCTAAAATTACATAATTTAAAGTACGTTATATAATATAATGATTAGCCAGCTGTAATACTACCAGAGTTGATAAATCAAATAATGCTTTTCAAAAATATCTTCATAATTGCTTAGACAAAATGATGTCTTCTGTGTTCAATAAAGTAACATTAAACAAGTATTATATCAATTATGTGAAATAAAAGAAATTAAGCAGAACAATTTTTTCTTGAGCCAACACACATGGATATCTCAATCAGTTCTGTAAGGCACCCATGACATTGGCATTTCTCTGAACATTATATTTTAATATGAGCTTATTAATTATTTGTCAAATAGAATTGGATGAAAAGATCAAACATATATTATAGGTTATACATTTCAGATTGTTGGCAGGTTCAATTAATCTCTCATCTCTGTAGTCCATAATTTTTGTAAATGAGAAAGTGCTCTTTACAAGTGCTAATATATTTGATAATTTCAGAGAAAATCCTGCTAAATAGAGCTGATTCATGAGTCTATTTTTTAAATTAAAATTGATATCTATTTTGGACCATATATTTTCAGACACTTCAATCAAGTGTGCTTTTCCTTGAGAAATATTTTCACAACCCAAATCTCATCAAATAAATTATGTATATTTGTAATTATTTTGACTGTTTCACCAAGTGCAGATACTCCAAAATCAGAAAATCAGAGGTCATCTAAAACTCATTCTGTTTTGTTGTTAAAAATCAATTTGCCAAAATGAAAACAAGACCTCTATTAAAATATCCCTTTTAAAGCTTCGATAAGAGAGAGCTGCCCTAGAATTGGACGTTGAGTTCTGCACACCATTTGGATTCTAGCCTTACTTTGTTTAGTCTCACTTTAGCTTTGCAAGATTACATTTAAATGTCTCCTTGTTTACAAGCTTGGCTTTCAAAATTTTTCAATTTGCTAAAAGCTCAAAAGCTGATTTGGGGAGAACCATTTGTTGCATGTACTTACTGAAGATTTATGGTTGATTTTTAATAAAGTGCCTGCCAGATTTAGAAGACTCATTTAAGCAGTGTTCAGTGCTGCTGCAGGACATTTGAGCTGATTCACAAAACACTTCCTGAAAGGCTCCACATTTTTTGAAATTTGACTCATGTCAAGATGGAAAGTTAAAATCCACTTGCTGCCAAGCCGAATTTCATATCTAAAGTGTTTGTCACACAAATTCTGCCATTCTATCTTCCTGTGTACATGTAAACAGTTATGTGTTTGGAGTATTGCTTTTATCTCTATCCTTAGGCTATCGAGGCTTATCTAAAACAACCAGGAATTCTGTGGAGAAGTTCCAAACAATTCCAGGTACTGGTGTTTGTTTCACAGATTCATTAACCTAGTCAAAATGTTCCTTAACAAAGAGCAGGAGGCCAGGCTTCACTAAAAGTTTCCTCTATTTGTTTAACAAAATCATTATCCAGGCTGAATTCTTTTAAAAATAAATTTATAAACACATTCACAACAATATAAAATGTTTCACCTTTAATAGAATGAATTATTATTATTATTATTTTGAGACAGGGTCTCTTGTATCCTTAGACTGATCTTAAACTTGCTGTAGACAGGAGAATGATCTTGAGTTTCTGATCTCATTGCCCCTACCTCCCAACTGCTGGGACAGAATGAACTTTGTAGCAGTTAATTTTTTTTAATGGGAGCAATTTTGACTAATTGCTGGATTTAATTTAGGTAATTATTTTTTGGAAACTTTGGATAATTCTTGGAAAAGTCCCACTTATTATATCTGTCAGACACCGGGTGATCTATGCTGTACTGTGTTATCACCTCTGGAGGAAGAATATGCTACTGTTAATGGAAGGAGACGCAAAGTAATTTCATGAGGACCATTGTGGATTCTGGAGGTTGTGTGTGGCCCACTTCAGTGCCTGCTTTGAACACTTTATAAAATAGCCCACAAAAACCGTTGGCTTTAAGGGAGAACAGAGGTTGTTTTTTGTAGCAGGGATGGTTCCCGCTTTGCCGCTGATCACTAAAGTGAGGCAGATTCAATCGAATTTCAATCGCTTTTGACCCATAGAGACTCTCCACGAAAATCTTGGCAGAACATGATGGGAAAACTGTGGCACAAATGGAGCAAAGGCAAACATGCATTTTTCATAGAGAAAAAAATGGTCACTTTCTTTTTGTACTTCAATTAGATAAAAGATACCTGACATAAAGCCCCCTATTATAAAACGAATGCTTCAGCCATATTTGACACACTTAGAATGTTATATTATACCATCTTCCACCCAAGTACTAAGCAGGCCCAACTTGCTTAGTTTCTGAGTCTAAATGAGATAGGGAGCATTCCGGCTGGGACAGCCTTAGACTGAAGTTATCATCTCTATTTAACTCAAAATCACTTTCTTTACCAGCCATTCTGGGCACTTCTAACAAGAGTTCCCTTTTAAATGTTATATTATAGGAGACATGAATTTCATAATGAACAGTACCAGGTTTATGATATCTTTCTATGTATTATTGGCCAGGAAGGTGACACAGTCCCCGAAAGGAACACACACTATTGCTATGTGTTCTTTATTGCTCATAATAAGTAAGTGGCGATAGTTTGTTGCTGAGGTTATAACCCACTTTGGTTACATGCCATTGAAAAATCATCTTCAAACTGACTATGAATTTTTTTCCTTGATGGTTAGATATCTTATTCTGTAAGTTGCTATGGGGATTCTGAGGGAAAAAGACATTGATAGCTTTACACAACACAGGAGATTGTGTGCTATAATACTGAGCTACAAGACTAAGTTCCCATGCCGGGCGATGGTGGCGCACGCCTTTAATCTCAGCACTCGGGAGGCAGAGGCAGGCAGATCTCTGTGAGTTCGAGACCAGCCTGGTCTACAGAGCTAGTGCCAGGACAGGCTCCAAAGCCACAGAGAAACCCTGTCTCGAAAAACCAAAAAAAAAAAAAAAAAGATTAAGTTCCCACCACTACAGTTGTAGCATGATAGCTATGGGAGTAAGTTACTGCTTACTAATTGCATCTGGAACCTGATATACAGGAAAGAGTTTATGTCCAGTCCTGTGAATTTGGTCAGAAGTCTGTAGTTGGAGAAATCATAGATTTTATTAGGGAATGTATTGGTACTTTTTCACTGAGTGCTCATCCTATAAAAGCACTTATTTAATACTTTCTTTATAAAGTAGATAGTGGATAATGCAGAGACTCATAACTACTCAAAGTTCTTAGAATAACGGACTGAGAATGATCAGACATAGACAGGTTATCTATACCAACCTTTCCCCATCTGGGGCTCAGGAAACATCAGAGAAAAGTTGACAAGATTTACGAGCTGGAGGATAGGAAAGAGAGTGTGAAATGCCTTCTGGATATGACGTGACTCTTGGACACTTCACCATACCACAGCTGTAGTTGCTTGCATAATACCTATAAAGATCAAGTCATTGACAATTCCAGCATAGTGGTGAGGACATGGAGTAAGGGAAACACTTACCCATTGCTGGTAGGAGTGAAAACTTGCATACACACTATGGAAATCAGTGCGTCGATTCTGTAGGAACATAGGAACTGATCTACCTCAAGATCCATCTATACCATTCTTGGATATATACCCAAAGGATGTTTCATCCTGTCACAGAGACACTTGGTCAAACATGTTCATTGATGCATTATTAATTATAACCAAAATTTGGAAACTACCTAAATGTTCCTCAATAAGTGAATGGATATGAAAATGTGACAGATTTGCACAATGGAATATAACTCGGTCATTAAAAAAATGAAATCATAAAATTCACAGATAAATGAATGGTACTAGAACAAATCATCTGAGATAATTCACAGATAAATGAATGGTACTAGGACAAATCATCTGAGTGAGATAACCCAGACACAGAAAGACAAATATGGTATACATTCACTTATATGTGAATATTAACTGTTAAGTCAATGATAACCAAGCTACAATTCTTAGAACCAGAGGTTTTGTATGAAGTAAGAGACTGAAGGAGGCTGGGAAGATAGATCTACCTAGGAAGAGGAAATAGAATGGATATTTATGGATAGATTGGGGCAAGGAGAGTGGAGTGGGAAGATCAAGTCAGGATGGAAAAGGTCCACAATAATTATAGTGCTTAGATGACCAAGAACCTGAGACTAGATAGCTCAGGGCCTAGAGTAAAACCAAATACTATTATTCCAGTAAAGAAACATATCAATAAAATGACCTCTAATGACATTCTGCTTTACTTATAGAGCAGTGCCTTACTCAGTCATTATCAGAGAAGCTTCTCCCTGCAGTAGGTCTAAAGAAACATAAAGACTCACAGTCAGACATTATGTAGATATAAGATACCTTGGAACACTCAATTAAATCCTTCCCCTCTGGCTCAAGGAATCCTGTGGAAGAGGAAGCAGAAAAAGAGTCAGAGAAGATGGAGGACACCAAGAAGTAAGGGAAAGTCAACAGGACCAGTGCACATAGGATCTCCCAGAGACTGAAGCAGCATGCATAGGACCTGCTCAGGTCAGTACAAGCCGGGGTCCTAGATCTGAATGGCAAAGTAGACACATGAACCCACACTTATCTCAGAAATATCTCCAATCGGTAACAAATTGCAAACAGAAATTTGGTTTCTCTAGAGAGTCTTTGGGTAAACTCTTAAAGGTAGGCGGCATGCTCGACCACATGCTCAGTCAGTAGAATGAACTCCAGGAGAGTTTGGACATTTCTGTTCTCTTATGGGCTTTTTCTTTCTTTTTAAAAATTTGTTTTCTTTCTTTATATTTAATTTTTACTTATATAGTTAGTGTTTTTCTCTCTTTTTACCCAGCATACCATTTGATATATATTAAGGCTTCTTATAAGGGACAGAAAGTGGGTGGATCCAGATGGGAGGGCTAGTGGGGAGGAAATGGGAAGAGTAAGAAGGAGAGAATTATAATCAGGATATTTTATGGAAGAATTTTTTGTTGTTGTTGATTGTTTTTTTGAGACAGGATTTCTCTTTAGCTTTGGAGCCTGTCCTGGAGCTTGCTCTGTAGATGAGGTTGGCCTCAAACTCACAGAGAGACCTGCCTACCTCTGCCTCCAGAGTGCTGGGATTAAAGGCGCGTACAACACCACCCAGTCCCCCCCCCCAAAAAAAATAATAAAAGGGAAAAAAGGAAAAAAAATTCCAGTGTAGATGGAGGAGGGGTTTCTGATGACTCCACTCCTACCTGAAATGTTAATTATGGTTGGTGACCTCTGGGAAGTGAGAGTGATTTTCCTTTGAGGATAGGGCCAGTGGCAGATTGCCCATACCTGTGCACCAGTTGGTGGCTGTGTACCTGTTTCTACACAGTCCGTACTAATTGGACCCAGAGGGTTAATAGCAGTAACAACAACAAAAACAACAACAACAATAATAACAATAATAACAATAATAATAATAAGTCAGGAGGGAGGCTGGTTGGCAAGTCTTGGAATGATTGAAGGGAAGTGATGAGGAATGGATAAGATCAAAGTATGTTGTATACACCTATAAAATATTATTTAATTTTGGCTTTGTTTGAAGAGCATATTCCTATCCATTTAGCAACCTTTTCTTCCCAAAGTCACTGGAAATTCCCTCTCTTCTCTCCTTCTGCCTGGAAATATTGATTAAGGAAATGTTTGCCTAATTCTAGACTTGGTGTGTTTGGCTTCTTGACTTAGTACAGTAACTTCAGAACTTACTGTAGCCTGTGTCAGCACATACTACGATGAATCTATTCATCTTTTACAGAACATTTGGCCTGGCTGTTTGGATTTCTGATATTAATTTGGGGGGGATGTACCCATCATTAGAAGAGCAAAGTCATACAGTCATTTTATTTAACTTTTTGAAGAATTGCCAGAGGCTAAGACATTTTGCACATGCACTAAAAATGTGCCATGAATCTGGGATACCACATCCTCACCAACTCTTGTGATTTTCTGTTTGTAAAAATTTCGCCAGTTCAATGCATCTGAACAGCTACCAGTGTTCAGGTTTGGTTCGTAGTTTACTGATGAATAATGATGTTGAACATCATTTCATGTGGTTTATTGGTTGTATGTATATCTTCTTTAGAGAAATGACTAAGTCTTTCACCTAAATTAAGCATATATTTAATCCTTTTGAATGCTTACGTTTATATTTTTGTTTATAAGAACTCTTTAAATAATCTTCAAATCATATCATATAGCCTATAGCTGATTTCTCATTATTTGGCTGCCTTTTTAGTTGATGCACACACACATATACACACACAGATGATTGAAGTCTACCAAAGACTGACTGCATGCCCAGTGTACCCTTTTACAAAACATATTATTTTGAGATGATGCTTTCATGTTTCTGCTCAGCTGCCCAGGCCATTCTTGTATTTGAGGATTGCCTCTCAATCTCCCGGGTAACTGGTACACCAGGCCTAGTTTGGATACATTTGATTTTATATACAGAAACTTGATAATGTCCTGTTATTTATTGCTTTGTCATGCACTTGGTATCATATCTAAGAATTCATCACCAAATCCAAAGCCATGAAAAATAACTTAAAAGTACTGTTATTTTTGTTATTATTTTATATTTAATTAACGTTTGCATTTGTGATATGGGATTCCCCTCTATATGCTGTGAATACCATTAGTTAATAAAGAAACTGCCTTGGCCTGATAGGGTAGAACTTAGGTAGGTGGGGAAAACTAAACTGAATGCTGGAAAAAAGAAGGGCAGAGTCAGAGATAAGCTATGGAGCTACTGCCAGAGACAGATATGCTGCAGCCTTGCTGGTAGGCCATGAGCCTCATGGTAAAATATAAAATACTGGAAATGGGTTTAATTAAGATGTAAGAGTTAGCCAATAAGATGCTACAACTAATGGGCCAAACAGTGATTTAAATAATACAGTTTCTGTGTGATTATCTCGGGGCTGAGGAACCAATAAGTGGCCTCTTCCTCCAAAACATTTGATGTAACAAGGAAGTAAAAATGAGTTGATTTTAATGTTGTTCAATTGCTTCAATGTTAATTGTTATAGAGATATAGTCCTCCATACAAGGTCTTTGTTATAGATCAAATCTTGATGTCCATAGACATCTAGGTTAATGCCTTGGGTTCCTTTAATGTTCTCTATGTACTCTTATGCCAGTGCAATGGTAGTTTCTATGGCTTAGATGTAAATTTTGAACTAAGAACATAAGAGTCCACAAGTATTTAATCTTTTTGCCTTATATTATTTTACCTATTTATGATGTCTTAAAATATGCCTTTGAAGGCTGTATGGTCCATTTCTTTAAGTTGTGGAAGATTACTACAACTCTGATTATTGGGACAGTATTCACAACATCCAAGATATGAAACCAGCCTAGATGATTCCAGTAAACAGATGAACTGACAAAGTAAAAATATTTGCATAGACTTTAATTTAGTCATAAGTAGGAATAAATTGCCAGACAGTGGTGGCACATGCCTTTAATCCCAGCACACAGCATAATGAAATACATTACATGGGACACCTATTTAAAAATAGCTGTATGCAGACATGCTTGCTCATGCTTGCAAAGCTAGAACTCAAGAGGATGAAGCAGGGGGATTACTTTGAGTTTGACATCATCTGGAATTAGATAGTTATCCATGTTGGGGGACTCAGTAGTTAAGAGTATTTGATGTTCTTGGAGAGGACCCAAGTTTACCACCCAGTACCTCTTTGAGTCAAAACAAGTTTTAAGTTAAAAATAAATGGCAGTTGAAATGTTAACAGGAATTACATTGAATTTATGTGTCATTTCAAGTAATATTTTGATATATAAGCATTAATCTATGTATCTAATGTACTTACATTTTATCCTTTGTTTTAATTTCTTTACAAAAGTTCTGGAGATGTCAATGTGTTACACAAGTCTTTGTATTTTAGTTCACCTTCTGTTCCCAAGTAACTTGTTCTTATGGATGCTACTATAGGTGTAACTGTCTTGTGAAATTTTTTTTGGTTCTTTAACACTGGTATATTAAAATATGTTTTTTCACAGTTTGCTAATATCTACTCTGAAATGTTCAGGTTTTTTTTGGATAATATCCATAGCTTTTTATAGATTCTTTGCCATTTATATGGTAAGGTCACACCACCTCTACCTAAAATTAGAGGGACTTGGTTTCTTTTCCAGCTTATATACCTTTTGTTGTTGTTACTCTGGTTTGAACTTTCAGTACAACTTGAAATATTTACAACACTAAAAGCAAGTATCCTTAACTTTTCCCTTATCTTAGTGACATTGTCATTGCTTATGGTGTAAGCATAGGTTTTTAGAAATCTATAGTACATATTAAACTTACCTCTACTCCTGGGTCTTTTCTAAGTGCCTTTTAAAATCACAGAAGATGAGGCTGGAGAGGTAGTTCAGCAGTTAAGAATTTTTGATGTCCTTGCAGAGGACCAAAGTTGAGGTCCTAATACCCATGTCAGACCAAATGTAAGTCCAACCCTGGAGGATTCAATGCTTTTTCTGGCCTTGATAGGCACCATAACCATGTACATATGCTCACATACAGATCCATGTATACACACATACACACACACACACACACACACACACAGAGAGAGAGAGAGAGAGAGAGAGAGAGAGAGAGAGAGAGAGAGAGAGAGGAACCAAAACCAATTTAAATCATTAAAAAAATAATGAAAAAGTAAAGTATTGGATTTTTCAAAATACTTTCTCCATTAATTGAAATTACTATTTCCCCTTCATTTATTTGAATAATGTATTGTATTGATTGGTTTTCTTATGTTAAGCTACTCTTGCATTTCTAGAACAAATCTCACTTGGTATATATATATATATATATATATATATATATATATATATATATATATATATATATACACATATATATAATCCTTTTAATGTTCTTGATTTAAATTTAGACCATTGTACTTTATGAAGCATTTTAAATCTATAACAGGCAAGTTTTTCACTGTGAACTCATCATGTACTATTTTTGCTTGTTTGTTTTTGTTTTCTTGTGTGACAGGCTCTTTGAAGTCCAAGCTAGCCTAAAACCTAATACTCCTGCCTCTGCCTCCTGGAGTAGTGAAATTACAGGTGTATATCACGTTATCCTTAAGTGTTTTGCAGTCAGGGGACTCCTCTGTACATGGCTTCTGCTGAATTCCTGGGCTTTCATTATGTTGATTTTATTTATATTCATTCATTTATATTTTCTAGATTTCTTGTTTTACCCACTGCTTGGTCAGGGATGTGTTGTACTTCTCATCCCTCTGTGCCCTTTTAAAACACAAGCTGTCCAATACTTAGTAGTTGTTATCTGTTATGTTGTGCTAACAATACCTTTTAATTCAGTTGATCTTGTTTGTGAACAAATATAATAAGTCTTTTCTGGAGAATGTGTCTTCTGCTGCTTTTAGACTGAGTGTTTTATATGTTCCTGTCACATTTCATTAATCTGTAGTATTGTTAATGTCCTCTGCATCTTTATTTACCTTCAGTCTGTATGTCATACC